ATTTCGGTGTTCCGCGGCTAAAATTCTCTTGGTAAAAAGTGTTGAACGGATTCTATTTTCTTCCGCTCAGTAGCACGCATGAGGCTAAATGAAAACGAACAGTATTCCAGACCAGGTCTAACGTACATGTTGTAAAGGCGCATTCTGATGTCCCTAGTTTTGAAGTTTTGGAGAATAAACCCGGTCGTTCTGCGTGCTTTGGAGACTATTCACAGTCTACTAATGACTTTATCAAATCATACCTGTCTAATCGTAAACAAAAGGTTTTGGTGGGGTCTTCACTTTCCAGTGGAAGCCCTTTTATAAGTGGTGTCCTACAAGGCACCGTTTTAGGTCCTCTTTTGTTCCTGCTTTACATAACTGATATCTCTGCGGCAGTTAAATATTCTCAATCATTTATTTATGCTGATGATCTCAGATGTGTATATTCTTTCAATAAATCTACGAGTCTTCATTGCCTGGAGCAAATCCATGCTGACTTGCTTGGTCTCTCAGCTTGGAGTTCAAAATTGCTAATGGAATTCTCTCCTTCTAAATGTCGCTAAATCTGTGTTTTGGACCTGACAGACTACCCCAACCAGTGGTCTTTCAAGGCACACCTATGGCTGAATGTACCACCATCAAGGATTTAGGTTTAAGCTTGTAGGTTTACTCACATTTTCGAATTTTCACTCTAAACTTTCTTGTACACCTCAAAATTTCTGTACTATTGCTTAAATTAACTAAAATATTCACATTTGGTTTCGACTCGTGAAAAAGCGTGACTTTTGTGTCCGTCTGCTGCTTCGTGCCATTGTTTCGCTGATTGCACTCATTTGCGTCAATCGCTTTTAGTCAATCGACACGAAACTTTTATATCTTTTGGCCATATTTAACTGGACGTAATTTCACCTGAGCGACAAGCCTCATTCACGGACTTCGTCTCGGATTTTACCTAGCACATTCACCCTACGGCCAGCGATTGTGGAGAAGGCTTTATTTATCGTGAGTCTGTACAATTATTTACCTTTTGTCGTTTTTCTGATACTCATTTTGCTATCGTCATTTTTATTGTAAGAAACGCAACACCCTCCACTTAGAGTTAGATATTTATTATTGTCTGTAGTTTAATTGCCGTTTACACTACAAGCTACACTAATAATCTTGATCTCTCGCCACACGCTGACAGAATTACAGCCAAAGCTGCCCAGATTTGTGGCTTTATTTCCTACAACTTCAGTCTTCCTGAAATTAAATTAAGGCTCTATTGTATGTTTGTACTTCCCATTCTCGAGTATTGTTGCCCATTCTTTGGTTTGATGAAAGAGACTAGTCGTTTAAAAATTGAAAATGTTCAAAGACGTTTTTCAAAAAATTTTTAGATAGGGAACATGCAAATATCTCCTACTCAGATAGATGCCAGTTAATTAACCTAAAATTTTTATGGGTTCGTAGACTAGAAGCAGGCTTCTGTCTCCTTTATCGCATTAACAATAGTTCAAATCTTCCTCGGATTTCATCACTTACCCCTAATAGTCGCCCGTACAATCTTTGCAACTCGTCCTTGATTATACCTCCGACAGCTTCCTCGAACCTCTAAGCGCTCCCTTTTTTTCGCTTCCAGATATACATTCCTCTGGAATAACCTTTCAATAAATATAAGATCTTCAGATAATCTACATAACTTTAAGAGAAGGTTACGCATTTATAGGAATAATGAATCGATTGAACTTTTATTTTCCTCATCCTTCCCGGACAACTTTTTCTATGAAAATGAGAAAAGTTCAAAAGGCATTTAGGACGCCGCCATTAACTTTCCGTATCTGTTCACATTTCCTTCCTTTGTGCATCGTATCGCTTCCTAAGATTCTTCACCAGAAATGTTAGTTTTTCCAATTTTTCAGTGCATGCATCGTGCCCTCGCAGAATGCGCTTCATCGACGCTCCTGGCGAAACCTCCTGTACTCGCCATACACTAGTAGTCTGGTCGCATTATAACAGCCGCTCCAGTCCCCCTTTTCTCCGGCTGCGTTTTGTCGAACAATGACCGCGACGGCTGTTGACACACCGCCAACCCCGCCGGCTAACACTCAGACACCTCCGGTCCAACTTCAGTGACTGTCGGCTGACCGCACATACTTTCATCACCTCACGCGCGTCTAACGCTCTGGTTTGATACCCGTGAGGCATTGTGTGCATGCGCCCCCACTCCTCCCCTAATTTGTCCAATCACACGACCAACACTCAGCCAGTCACCCCTCCTACTGACCCAGATGTACACCCGCGTAAACAACAGACACACTGCGACTGACGCTCTCCGCGAACGGACGCTTATCTCTGTTGCAAGCAAACAGCCAACTTACGGCAGCCTGTCTTGTGTACAGAATAAACTAGTCCTCACAGCTCCCTGACTTCTGACAGTAGACGAAACGAACTTATTGTGTGTGGTTTAAGTTGATCTCACATCCTTGACCGCCACAGCATCTCCCTTCCCTATCGTTGGATGGACTCGGATGAATGTAACCGAACGCATCTGGGTTCCTATCGCCTCGAGACTGCTTTTCATCGTGCCCTCGCAGAATGCGCTCCATCGACGCTCTTGGCGAAACCTTCTGTATTCGCCATATACTAGTAGTCTGGTCGCATCTCCCTTGCCCCCTCCTCGAATGGACTCGGATGAACGTAACCGATCGCACTTGGGTTCCTATCGCCTCGAGACTGGTTTTTAGTTTCGCCACTTATTTGCCTTATTGAAGGCCACATACAGGCCAGTCCTGTCTGACCCGCCTACTTGCCCCTTCATGAAATCCGTTATACAATGCCATATAGAGCTGAAACTTATTTTTGTCCTGTCGATGTCCGATTATAATCCATTATATACCGCCACATGCAGGGAAGTACTGCCCGCATTTTTCTGTTATTGCTTTTTTACCGAGGGTTTTTTTCTCCTGGAAAATTAATCCAGTCATTTTTAAATTTTCATGTGGAGTTTTTTTCATCCCTCGCTAATCATTTTTCTTAATGGACTTCTATTTCAAAAACTATGAATTGCACTTTGTACAGATTTTGCCTACCGCGTCTAAAATTCGCATGTAAATTTATTTCTACTTACTTTGACGGGACCTCGACCGGTCTTTAATAAACAATTATTATTTTTATTTTATTAACAGCGTCTAGTATGTTGTTTTCAGGCACACATTTTTTTTCCTGTCGGTGTCCAGTTGGGGAGGATAATTAAATACGACGACTCATCATGCCTATTGAGGCCGATAATTTAATCCAGTTTATATCTGGATGTCGTGGTCTCCCGAATTTGCCTTATATTCATTTTTAACCATGGATATACTGTTTATTAGATGGTTTTGGTCTGTGTCATTATTAATGCATTCTGGAGGGGAAAACAGACCCCTGATTAGTATGTTTTCTTGGGTTTAAAATCATTTTATGGCAAAGCGCGCTTTTCAAACGAGAGTTTCATCGGACACATAAAAACTACTTTATTTAAGGATAGATTTAATGCATATCAGACAACCATCGCCTCGTCTACTTATGCGGTCATGTCGATCCAACTTGTAATATGGGACATACTGCAAAGCATTCTATACTAGTTTACCCGACCACGTCTCAGTATCAGAAAGTATATCAGTATTCTGGACTTCAACAAAAGTCCTTAGTTGGAATATTTTATGGACTATCGATCTCGCCTTATTTAGGACAATACTTTAGACGTTGAGTATAGCTAAGGCAAGCTGTGGCAGGCGACACGACGCCAAAAGTACTATTGCATCATTACAAGTGAGAAAGGCATGGTTGTTAAAAGATTGAAAACGTGTCAAGTAAGCGTTTGACACTCCGTGTTGTGGTTAAGATACCAATACTTCCCATTCTATCTGCCCGCCAGTTTGCTACTGACGACGACGAATGTTGTGTGGTAGGACATATACCACATATGATATATAAGCAGGTCACTAGGAGTGGAACAGGCCAGACGCAGAAAGCTGTGGGTATATATATATACATATATATACATACATATACATATACATATCATGCGCCGCTGTGCGGATGCTGGTTGGGCTCGAGAGAGAGTCCATAAGGCACAACGGAACGAGTGAGTTCCGTATGAACGATCGGTGAGCGCCCCCTAACATTGTATATTCCCGATCGAAAACCGACAAGGCAACGGGCTCGTGGCCCGGTGAGTAGAGGCGTTGACTTCTAAACCAACAGGTCGCGAGTTCGAGGCTCGGGTGTTCCACACTTCGGGCTTGGGTATGGCTGGCTGACGACGGCTAATAAGCCAGAAATGGCCATTCCAGTCTCCCTTGTCTTTGTCGGTAATACTATTCTGCCTATATATCATGCGCCGCTGTGCGGCTGCTGGTTGGGCTCGAGAGAGAGTCCATAAGGCACAACGGAACGAGTGAGTTCCGTATGAACGATCGGTGAGCGCCCCCTAACATTATATATACATATATATATATATATATATATAAACAGTGCTGTATCAATCTACCCGCATTCTCTGTCGTCCCTCCTTGCTGCTATTATGACTTGGCCGACTTCGGCCTGGTAATTGGTTGCCTGTTCGTGACCTTTGCCACACATACCGAGGTTGTTTGCTTTGTGAAGCCAATAGATCGGTGTGCGCCCATTCCTGATTGATATATATATATATATGAGATGATACCGACAAAGACAAGGGAGACCGGAATGGCCATTTCTGGCTTATTAGCCGTCATCAGCCAGTCATACCCAACCCCAAGTGTGGATCACTTGAGATTCGAACCCGGGATCTTTGGTCATGGAGTTGAACGCTCTACCATTGAGCCACGGGCCCGTTGTCCTGTCGGTTGTGATCGGGAATATTAATTATGACAGTGGACGGTCGCCGATCAGGTTACGGAACATGCTCGTTCCGTTGTGCCTTGGGGCTCATACTTAAACCCTCGCAGGCAGTCGCACAGCGACTAGTAGTAGACATGTTCCGTAACCTGATCGGCGACCGCCCACTGTCATAATTAATATTCCCGATCACAACCGACAGGACAACGGGCCCGTGGCTCAATGGTAGAGCGTTCAACTCCATGACCAAAGATCCCGGGTTCGAATCTCAAGTGATCNAAGACACGGAGTACCTCAGGTTTTTGGTTCGCCTCACCGTCAGTCTTTGTGTGTCTTTGGAACAGACATTTGTTTACGAAGCTACGTGGGTATCCATTGACAAGGAAGAGGTGCCACAGGGACGCACGCTCTTGTAGCTTCTCGGCCTCTGTGCTGCAGTGCGTGTTGATGCGGCGGAAAAGTGTCCGGACGCAACTGCGTTTATGCGACAGCGGATGGTTGCTGTTGTAGTGGAGTATTTTCTCTGTGTTTGTAGCTTTTCGGAAAACACCGGTCTGGAGGGTTCCATCTTCCTGCCTCGTTACCCGCACGTCGAGGAAAGAGAGCGTTCCGTCCTTTTCTTCCTCCATTGTGAATTGGATTTGTGGGAAGATGGAGTTTAATTCTCCTCTGAAGGCCTCCTTCGCATCTCGGTGTAGGACGACAAAGGTATCGTCCACATAGCGCATCCAGAATTTTGGCTTGTAGGACCGGAATACATGAGTTTCCAGTTCCTGTAGTACCGCCTCAGCCAGGTAGCCGGAGATCGGGGATCCCATCGGGGTTCCCTGGATTTGCTCATCAGTATGGCCGTTAAAAGTGAAATACGTGCATAAGCAGTAGTCCAGTAACTCCATCGCGTGCTTCCTTTTAAACGGTTTTTCTTCATCGTCGTACTTTCGTTCCAGTAGCTCACTGGTGACTCTCATGGCCAAATCCTTAGGGATGGAGGTGAACACAGAGACGACGTCAAAGGATACCATGATCTCATCGGGGGCTATTGTCACGCCTCGGACTTTTTCTAGGAAGTGCGTTGAGGAGGCGGCTGTGTGTTCGGATCCTTCCGTCAGCTTCTTTAAGTGCTTGGTAAGCCATTTAGCCAGTCCGTAGGTAGGTGTGCCTTTCAGCGCTACGATGGGTCGTAGGGGGACATTTGGCTTGTGGATTTTTGGCAAACCATAGAAACGCGCTGGAGCGGCATCTTGCGGTCTCATTTGTCTCCAATCGTTTTCAGATATCGCCTTTTGGCTCCTCATCTGATTTAAGCCCCTTGTTAATTTTGCCTACCAGTGTTTTCATGGGGTCAGAGTCGACGACTCTGTACGACTGGTTGTCGTCTAGTAGTTCCTGGGCTTTTGCGACGTACTCTGATCTGTCCAAGATCACGGTTGCCCGTCCTTTGTCCGCTGGAACAATGACTATTTCTTCGTCCATCTTTAATTCCCTAATGGCCTTTGATTCGGCCGAGGAGATGGTCCGACGTGGCTTGTGGGATATGATGAGCGATGACACTCGCTGGCAAATGGAGTTCTTGGAGTCTTCTGTGGTATCTGTCTTTGCGAGTGTCGCTTCCAATGCCGCAATAAAATCCAGTGGCTGCGCGTCACCTGTGTTGTATCCAGATTCGTGCTGAAGCACTTTAATCTGGTCGTCTGTCAGCTGTTTGGATGAGAAGTTGTGGACGGACGGTGGTTCTGACATAGATGCATCTGCCTGCTGTAGGGTACGCATTTTGTTCAGGAGTTGGACCCTCTTCTTCCCTCGCTCTACGTTCACCTTTATCGAGATCCAGCTCTCCAGGTTGTGTAGTGTTTGATCCTCCAGGTGTGATTCACAGGCTGCTTTCTCCCTTTCGATTTCTCTGCCGTACTTTCCCAGGCGAATATGACATTCGTTGATGAGGGTTCTTAGTAAGCGTCGGCTACAGCTCCTGGCGACCTCCCGACCGAAATCGGTCTTAGCTGTCGGTCCACCACTGAGGCCTACCAGTTGGGTCATAAGCACTTCATCGAACCGATGTTCATCAGTGCCTCTGTCGCTGCAGATCGAGTATTAATTCACTGAGGAGTAGACGAACAGTGATCTATTGGCTTTAAGAGGGAAGAGCGGGGAACTTTGCCCCTACGTTCGACTTAAAATAAATAAGCGTATTCCTCTTTCTTGAGATACCAGTGATGGTGATTATCGGCCATCCACCCACCTTCCTGGCTGCCTTTGACAGTCTGCACCATTTTCATCGTCCTCGGAATCGAACTTGCAGCGGGTAGCCATCATGATCGATCTGGTGTCATTGTTCAAGACATTACTGCCTCAAGGCCACTCATCCCTTGCAGCGAGTTTCTCCAGACGCACTGGCCCAAAGCCACTCAACTGACCTCAGCTCGGACGCAACTGAGTCCTCACAGCGCCGCGTCTACCCATGCGCCACTTGAAAGCGCCACTCCCTGAAACCAGCAAAACAAGCCACTTGGACAGCACCCCTCGACAAGTACAACACACACCGATTGGAGACCACTACAGCTTGGCCCACAAGCCTACAATAGCGGCTGCCATCGCTGTCCCAGGGACTCTCGGGCATTACTGTATGCAGTCAACACCAGCCCTGGCTTCGCCAGTGACCAATGCCGCATGGGACGACAACTCTGCTTCTGTATACATTAAACCTCTCATTATGGTGTCTTCTGCCTTCTCCATACAAGTCGGGATCTGGCCCGAACATTGTAGCGCACTGAGCACAGACTACATCACGCTCCATCTAGCTACTACAATCGTTGACCCTTGGGGATAGGTGCGAAGAATGTTTGATCGCATGAGATACTACTCGGTCCTGCAAACTTTCCTCTATTCTGTGCGTTCGGAACTAGAGGGGTTGTCTGCATCTTCAGCCCATGCCACCCAGCTTACCTTCTCTTGAGTGTGATTGTCTTTTAGCACCCTCATAAGGTAGACCTTGGTGCCTTATGGTGACCGCCCGTGCCTCTCCAACAAAACTGACGTTTGCCTGCAGAATTTTGACGACAATAAGCATTTTTGCTGTAAAACCACGCGTCGGCGACAACTGCTACTGAGTCGTCGTTTATGAATCCACCAACACAGTACATTTGTGGGGAAGTATCAACTCTCGGTTATACTCTGATCGAGCTTCAGCGTTAAAAATTGAAAAAAGATGCGTTAAAAAAACTCGCCGTCATTGTCGAAGCAAACATATTTCAAACATACAGAGGAATGCAGTGAATCTGTTTCTATCTGCTGTGGAGACTCTAAAGATGGATAACGTGGAAGAAGACATAGATGTAATGAATGAGTTCCTGCAATCATGGAAAGTGCGGTTCTGTGTTTCGGTGGTGGAGTTAAATATTATCGTGCAGCCTAACCCCAGTAGATAAAATATTGTCGGGCAACTTAGCGGACAAAGCGTCTCTATTGTGAAAAATGGGGGTTGACTATCGGGGTAACTGGAATGACGGCGCATGTTGAAAACTCAAGCAGATATCTTTCAGAAAACCCTTATACGTCTGCTTGGCTGCGTTAGTGTGTCTGTTAATGCTATCACGAACCCTCTCGGACCTTCCTTATAAAGGGGTGATGTGATGACAGGGAGGCGTTAGGCCCTGATTAATTGTGTACTTTAAAACTTATTGTCCTTTCCGTTTGCTGAAAGCAGTTTCAACAGCCTTTTAGAGTTCCACTTGGTTCTAATACTTGGATTGCTATCTACATCGATAGATGGGGAATAATTACGAACCGTGACCACGGAAAGTGAATAAACAAGTGTCTTCTCCCTGCTTGACATGCATCAGGTGATACCTTGGATTGATCCATCCATTAAAACTATCGTCTGAGGAAGTGGTCAGCACGATGGGTTCGGAAGATTCTGAATTCATTGTTGTCGACGATGATGGCTTACAGGAAACTAAGGAAACTATACGAAGGCTGAACGAAGTTATTAATCTTTACAAAAGTGCGCACGGTAAGCGCAATTTTTCCTTGTTAACCCCGACACAGATGCACTTGTAAAGTCGAATATTTTGTTGCAAGATCAGCTGCATTTGGCCTTACAGCTTGTCCTTCAGCGCGTGCCACCTGACACAGAATCCAGTGTTGAGAGTCTCGTTAAAAGTATATCGGAATCGGTTAGGCCATTATCCTATGTAAACACCCATACTGAATTACCTGTAGGCCTATACATCCAGCGATACTGTGCGTCGGGATTACGTCAAGAACCTTTGCTCGAAGCTGGTGGTTGTCAATGCTGACTACCAAAAGCTTGCACAAGAATTCGAGGCATTCAAGTTGGATAACGTGTCGGACGTGTCTTCCAAGGCAAGTGTAACTCTTAGTGATTTTTGTTCTGTCCGCCACAAGCAACTATCATGTTACCTGTGGGATGTGTCAAATCTTGTGTGTGACCCTTCCCTGCAGCTCGCTCGCACCGGCGGGGCACTTATTTAAGCTCTCTTTATTCTCTTAAATCACTCAAACCCACCACCGGTACCGGTGGTGGTGCTGGATGTTTGCCCCACGAGTTTATGGCTAGATCGTCATTGGCAAATCCGAGCGCTTACGGACAATGCGTTAACTTCAGCGGTCTTCTATCCCTTGATGAGAAAAGCAACTTATTCCGCTGTTTGGCTTACAGAGTTGAAAAAATTTGTCCGCCTGACAAGACATGTTAAGACAGAACTAACGGAACTAGAGAGAGGTGAGGACTTGGCCCGCAAAACCGCTTCACAGGTCGACCCATTCAGGCGAGTAGGGCTAGTTGACGTGGTAAAACTGTCAAAAGTACATCAGAAACAAAGCCATCCCCATTAAATCGTCGTTGCGGGACGACGTATCGGGCAGTTTAATAGGGGTATTTGCATTCATCTATTTCCATTACGACCAAAACTCCTAAAGCACAAACACTAGTCCACTAGCCCCCTTAACGTCTTGACAAGTTGTCACTAGATATTAATTATGTAGAGCTATACTCATGCAGTTATCCCACGCGGGCAAGCCGCTTTGCTGGAATCAGTCGGCCGACGTACAAAATTATGGACCACTTATTAGTATGGTCTAGCAAAGGCGTTAAGCAGTCTCATTCTCGCACGTCCGGTAAGTATTAGTCAATTTAGACACCAAATAAGTTTTGCAGGTCTACTGAGGCAGACGAGCTACTAAAATTCAATGTACAGCGTCTTCTTATACGGGCGGTGACGACTGTCGAGCTACAGAAACCGGCTCCGAGGTTATTCGATAGCGCATGATAGTCGCCGCACCAAATTGCGCACAGCCAACCACATTTTTCTTTTCACCTTCCAACTGGTGTTCATGAACCCTTTTGAAAATCCGTCTTAGTTACATTGGCCTGAATCACGACCCGCTAAAAGCCGTAACTCAGAAGATTGCCAACGGAAGATATGACAGTCCTCGCGTCGATCCCGACGATGTCCACCGTGTGCCCAACATCAGAGTAGGCGCAGAGACGATGATTTACGCATGAATTAGTTTGTAGTGGTGGTATAATTGTGCAACATCAATCACACTCCTCTCCCACTTGGATTCGGGGTCGTGACAGAATCAAGAAGACCAGAGGCGGGAGAGGACCCAAATCACTGGCGTGGCGTGAATCCGCACCCACGTATGCCACCATACCCCCTGTTTCGCGTGCAAAAGACCAGTATTTCATAAAACAAGGAAGGGGGGGGGGTGGTTCGAATCCCCATTGAGTGAGAGTGCCATAAAGGCGACAATAAGAAGCCATTGCAGTCTGACTCAGTCTGCCCGTTGGCCACTCAGCGCACAAATACAAACTTGACTAACTGCAAACTCTGAGTTGAATCGTCACTTGTCAACTGTTCAATCCACGGCTTCTAACGCACTGTGATAGTTTAAAACCCGTCAGATTGTTTATGAAGTGGAATGTGCAATGAGTCGACCCCATTCTTCCCTCTCCCAGACGTCACTCCAATGTCCCAGCCGGTCAACCAGCTGATGCTGAGACAAATGACAGAGCTAGGTACAGCCCGTCTTTGTGTGTCACACGACCTGGCCCCCAAGCAACACCAAGCCCTCACACATGGGAGTGGAATGCTCGGATGTCACATGTAACAGAAGAGTTACATGGGGAATGGGCCGAGTAATGCAAATCCCACTTACGTGAGAGGTGCTTAGTTTGTGCCACGGATGTGTGATCTTGGACGTGTTCATGTGTTGGTGGCAAAGTATGTGATAATGTGGTTCCACCTTTCCACCTCCGGTCTTCTTGACTGTCTGGACACTGCCCAAGTGGTGGAGGAGGAGGAAGTGCGGTAAGTGCTGCGCAAGTCTACATTCACCATAAACCAAATCACGCGCAAGCCACCGTGGCTGCGCTCACCACGCTGTGGAGCGCACGGTGGACATAATCGACAAAGACGGTCGGAATCGCCTAATAGTGTGGTTTAGTTTGCTGTGATTTACCGGAGACTGTCGTGGAGGCGCGTATGACCGAGTAGACCCATGCGATAACCAAATGCGTGCGGGAAGTGCGAGCAGTTGAGGTGGTGGCGGTGGGTGTATATTGGCGCTCCAGGCACTGGTTCGCCAGTCTCGATGTATTCACAAGTGTCTGACCAGGCCAATGCATGATGTTAATGTGCGGTAGAAATGTGCGTAAGTTGGATTGGGAGTTTTTGAGTCGATTTTAGTAGTGATACCGCTAGTGATGATCGCACCGATGGATGGGGATTTGGCAGTGCTGGAGATGGGAGATTTGTCGGACGTGCTGGGTGTGCTTGTCGCGTCGATATTACGCTGAGTCCCGGCAGTCTTGGCTACTTATGTGGCTGAATGGGCCCATGCGGCCAGTCAACTTGCGTTTGCATGTGAAGTGGCCGACTGGTGGACGGAGAAGTAGGCTTAATAACTCTTTCTACTTGTGACCACAATGACACTCACGCCAATAAGATCTGGGCCACCCATCCCCTTTGTGTGAAAACCTGGTCCATCGTGTGCGGACCAGGCGAACATGGCAC